GTGTTTATTATATTTTCTCCGAATTCAGGCTACAATGATCTTCATCGAGTATACGTTTAGTTGTCATCTCCGAAGTCGAGACAATATTAGATCGATTCTTTGTACAATTCCCCTTCTTTTTCGTTCCTTTATCCTTAAGCGTTTTATTTACTTTTAATCTAGTATTAGTACCACGCCTTTGCTTCCGTGGAAGCGATGTTGGATCTGTAATAGAAAAATATAATTTATTCTCGATATATGACATGATGATACAATTGTTGTTAGTCGGTTTACGCTGTAGGTACGTACGATCTTCGGGAATGTTCATACTCTTTCTCAGAACAGCGCGTACTTGTTTATTTATGATCTCTCTGCATTGCACGTCGAAGCCGGTTGGCAGCCATCCTCTTTTCTCGTGACACTTTATACCAGGCAAAGGATCGGGAAGCTTTGCCAACATCTGTTGTATCTCTGCCACTGCGATGTCGCAATACTAACGACGAAATTTACAAGTCATAAGATCGATATTGTCATACACTGTCGTATAGTATCGCAGAGAAAAAACCAGTGGACCAACCTGATAAAACATTTGCCGAGAAGGAGGTATCATACCTTCCCGGTATATGTACACATCCTCGTGTAAATGTCGCTCCTTCTTCGGATGTTGCTCCTGACTTAAGGTAGTGGTCAATATCGCGGGCTTTTGCTTAGAAACCGATGCTGATTTATACGGTAATGTATAATTTGAATAATTTCTCTTACACCTAACGGTCGAGCCTAAGCCATCTGTATTATATGAAGAAACTGATCAATTCCGTCCGTACGTACATTTTCCTTTCCATCTTCCTCGCTTTCACAACCATCAGATGTCTGAAATAATAAGTGGCACAACTTACGCATAGCTTTCAATCTGTAATCCAGCGTCTGATACTTTCTCGCATTGATGTCCTTCCTTGGGTCGTAACCCAGCTTCACCCACATGATTCTCCATGGTCCGGTCATAAAGTAATACGCTACCGATGGTAGTAATATCTTCAATTGTTCGGATGTAAATCGTGTCTTGTGCATAATGGCATTTTTTGACCAGATCGGCCGTTCCTCAAAAAGCTGACGCACTTCTTCCAAGTGTGCATTTTGAAGAAGTTTGACCTTCATTGCCGTTTCGATGCCTTTTGGTGCCGTGGTAGGTACTTCCGATGTAGAAAAATATATGTAGTTGGGAAAACCCGCTTGACATTTTTTGTTTTTGCCAATTAGATTTTCCGGGCCGGAGTCTGTCTCACTTTTCGGCACATATTGCTGTATAGTGTCCATTCTGCTAAATGCGGCTGGTGGTAGGAAATAAGGCACATCATTTTTCAACCAAGAAAATGACGGAATTCCTGTCGGATAAATCGAGCTGTATATACATTCCAACTTGTTCGGATCTAATTTGCTTTGTGTTATCGGCACATACTGAAAATCACATAAATCTAAAACATTGAAGAAAAAGAGGGGGAAAAAAAGGGAATCAATAGAGAAACATTAATACATTAGAAATACACGTTAGTTTGTATTATTTATATAGAACTTACTGGTAAATTTGAATTCGGTGTCGACTCTTCCTAATACTTTCAAACAAGGCAAATCATATTCTGTATCTTGGGACAAATTTCCATATTTATTGTAATGAAAAGTAGGTGACGCACCCTTCTTTTTCTTTGGTGAATCTTTGTTCGTTTCTGTGCGTGTACTGTACAAATCTGTAGTGTTAGTAGCGGCACATATCTTTCTCGCAGCATCTCGGCTACTGGAGTCTATAGTGCTAATATTGCATTCTTCTATGTGATTTACAAAATTACCAACAGTGTCGTTTTGATGATTGTTGTTTCTTGGTGCGATATCAGATATTAGATTATCTATTTGTCCATTTTCCAAGAGGTGTGATGTATTAGGACCTGCTTTGCCACAAACAACATAAAGTGCTCCCAAACTTGCGGCATCTATAGACTGTGATTTTATAGTATCGACGGTAATGTCACCTTTTGGTTGCTTAGCTCCATTCTTCTTTATCCTAATTCTAAGCAGAAAGCCAGTTGTACTGTGTCTATCTCCGCAAGTGGGTTTACTATAACCATCATCGGGCCTGAATCGCAATTCTAATCTTCTATTGGGAGTATCTATAGCCTGTCAAGAAAGGAAAAGAAAAAATGATACAAAAAATTCTATAATCAAATATGAAATTATTTGGACATTGGCCATTGCGATTTTGTTATACCGTAGAAATTGAACTAATTCCGCCTAATGTTTCAACAGCTTTCTCAACATTAATAACATTTCCTGGATATTTGACACACACTAGCCTCTTGTCAAATCTGTGTCCAGAAATTATTGGGCCAGTACACACGTTGTCCTGCGAATTATTTATCTCATTCTGTAACAAACGACAGGGCAAGTTATTCAACGGAAACGGCAATCATGTATATGATTGCCGTTCCCGTTGAATCATGTATATGAAACGGGTATATCATGTATATCTCGAGCGTCATTTTCTTCGAGGCACTTCAACTTACGTTAACGCTATCCCCTTGAACTTCATTAAGAGAATCGTCACTGTCAATTTCATGACGATAATCACGCACGTTAAAGTCTATATCCGTTTTGTTTTGTTTGTCATACATTGCAATGTCACTCGGATCGCTCGATTCTCTCGACAGCGTTTTTTACTCTTTTCTTAAAATTATAGAATTAATACGCGTATTCGTAGTCAGGCCTTATATTTGAGACCTCCTTATATCCATCTTTAGATGCTGCGCGGATTATTTTATTGGCTATAGACCAGCTGAAGATAAACTTAAGGAAGTCTTAGGCCGGTATTCATAGTCGGATCTTATATTTAAGACCGTCTTAAGTTTATCTTCAAACTCTGCACAAAGTATTTCATTGGCTATAGAGTATCTGAAAGTGAACTTAAGACGGTCTTAAATATAAGACCTGACTATGAATACCAGCTTTAAATATGTTGGAGGCATTCACATTGCGTCCGATGTCCGACGTAGAATTGAATTCTCCGTTAGAAAGCTCTTCTCCTATTGGATGTCGTACGTCGTACGTCGGACATCGGACGCAGTGTGAATCCTCTATTACTATGGCCGTGTTCCAAAATTCACTGCCAGCGCTGAAAAGTTATAGTTTGCGTGACTCAAACTATATATTTTCAGTACCGGCAGTGAATATTTTGGAACACGGCCCTCGTCGATGGCTATACTGTGTTAAGCCCGTATCAGACTATGGATTGGGATTGAGATTAGATTGAAATTTGACCAATTGAAAAAGAGAAAATAATAATCTCAAGTATAGTAAACATATATAATATCTTCCTTGAACTATCCCTGGGGACCTTGTACAGCTAGATTATGCAATCCGGCAGTCCAAAATTTATAATATATATAAATAAAGCATCAGCTGTACCAGGAGCTGCAGCGAGTCAGGTGGAATACCATTTTACAAGAAGCAATATTTTGCCTTGTTGACGTAATATATGACCATGAACTTGTTTTAGCATCTTCCTACAACTATTCCCGAGATCTCTACAGAGTTAGATTTTACAAACAGGCCGTCAACAATTTATTATATATAATTAAAGCGTCAGCTGTACCAAATATCGCAGCGAATTATCAGGCGGAATACAATTTTACAAGAACAAATATATTGCCTCGTTGACAATACATATAACCGCCAAATTATTATGGTATCTTCCTTGAACTATTCCTGAGAACCCTACAGAGCCAGATCTTGCAATCCGGCCGTCAAAAATTTATAATACATTAATAAAGCGTCCGCTGTACCAAGCGTAGCTGCGAATCACTCGAAATATCATTTTACGAGATGCAATATTTCGTCTCTTTGACGATACTCTCTTTGACGGTATTATTACCAAATTGTTGCAGCATCTTCTTCGTACTATTTCCGAGATCGGTACAAAGCCGGATTTTGCAATCCGATCGTCAAAAATTTATAATATAAATATAAAGTGCCCGTCGTACCAAGCGTTGGAGCGAATCAATCGAAAAATCATTGTAGGAGATGCAAAATTTCACCTCGTTGACGATATGTTTCACCGTCAAATTGTTATAGCATCTTCTTTGAACTATCCCCGAGAAACCTACAGAACTAGATTTTGCAGTGAGGCTGTGAGAAATGTATCATAAATAAATGAAGATGTATGAAGTGTCGGAGCGGATCGCGTACAATACCATTTTACAAAATGAGATATATCATCATCATATTGTTATAGCATATCTCTAAAACTATTCCCAAGATCCTCGCAAAGCCAGATTTTGCAATCAGGCCGTCTAACTTTTATTATAAATAAATAAAAATGCATCAAGCGTTAAGGCGGATTACACGAATACAATTTCACAAGAAGAGATATTCCGCCTCGTTGGCGTAATATATATGTAACCGCCGAATTGATATGGAATATTCCTTGAACTATTACCCAGGTCCCTACCAAATTTTGCATTCCGGCCGTTAAAAATTTATCATATATGAATAAAGCGTGTGTCGTACGAAACATCGCAGCGAGTCCCGCGAAATACCATGTTACAAGAAAAAATATTTTACCTCTTTGCATATAACGGCACCAAATTGTTATAACATATTCCTCGATCTATCCCCGAGGTTTACAAAACCAGATTTCGCAATCAGGCCGCCTAACATTTATCGTATATAAAAGACTGTACCGGGCATTGCAGCATGTCACGTACAATACAATTTTGGAACATGAGAAATATTGCCTTATTAACGTAATACATCACCATCAAATTGTTCGGCCGTATTCCTTGTATTATATGTAACGTCGCTATAAAGCAGGATTTTGATTATTAACACACACACACACACATATATATATATATATATATTATAAGCGACTGTACGGGACAACAACAGGTAACTGTTAACTGTTAACTCCTACAAGTAACTGTAGGAACCATTAAAGTTGTTGTAATATTAGAAGTTCATTAATGAATTTATTTTTATTTCTTATATTTCAGGACCGATTTTATAAATATATATACAGGATGCTAAATTTCAAACGTAACAGGTAAAAAATCTCGAAAACTATGAAAGATATTAAATAAAGCTAAAACACCTGTTCCATGATTTTGAAGGGGAAACAGAATGGCATTATCAGTTTTTTATTTGGAGGGCATTTTCAAGGTCAGTTGAGATCTCGTAGGTGAGGTCTGTAGAGATCTCGGAAATAGTTGTAGGAAGTTGATACTATAACAAGTTCATGGTCATATATTATGTCAATAAGACAAAATATTGCTTCTTGTAAAATGATATTCCACCTGACTCGCTGCAATTTCTGGTACGGCTGATACTTTATTTATATATTATAAATTTTGAACAGCCGGATTGTAAAATCTGGCTGTGTCAGGTCCTCAGGGATAGTTTAAGGAAAATGCTGTAACAGTTTAGCAATTATACGTATCGTCAACGAGGCAAAATTTTGCATCTTGTAAAATAATTTTTGGGGTGATTCGCTGCGACGCTTGGTACGGCGGACGCTTCATTTATTTTTCATAAATTTTGGACGGCCGGATTGCGAAATCTGGCTTTGTGGGGATCTCGGGAATAATATAAGGAACATGCTATAATAATTTGGCGGTGATATATAACGTCAGCTAGACAAAATACGTCAATTTGTAAAATGGTATTGCACGTAAGTCGCTGCGACGCTTGGCTCACTCACCCAAAATCCTGGAAAGCATTTTCTCGCCGTGTATCGGCCGGCGAAATGCCCGAGTGAGTAAGACAAGGATAGCGCGATCGATCGTTCATCCTTGTCAAACTGACCTGACCCAACCTTCCTGCTCTTGCGCTCGCGCGCACGGCATTGGTTCGCAGTTTCGCCGCATGAGGCCCTCAAAGTCAACTCTAGATTTGCCTCTAGCTCCTGCAGACCCTTAATTATTGGATCCAGCATAAGATGGCACTAACGTCGACTTTTATTATCTCACTTATTCGAACTCCGTTGACAACAGTTGACGTTGGGACTAAGCGCTTGAAATTTGTACGTGGAATTTTGCGAGAACAATTTATGTCTGAATTGTTATTGTTGTTTTATATCTGAATTGTTAACAGTATCATTTTATCATGAGTGTCTGTCGGCTAGAAAGTTGCGTTCAATTTCCTCTTTCAAGGAAGGAACTGAAAGAAACCGTAGATAAGGCCAGAGACTGGGCGCTTATGCACGGTAATGATAATCTTGTCATTGATAAGATGAAGTACTTAATAATTAGACACGTGTTACTTACGTAACAAACAGTTATTTTTTCGATTCTTTATGGACTTGAGTATAAAGATTTTGAGCTAACGTATAATTATAAGTCACAATCCATATTTTGTATATGTTATGTATAAATGTGTATATGTATACGCTCAATCATAAATTTACAAATGTACCAATGTATATTATGATGTTACAGGCCTAAGTATGCGATCCAAGAAGAATTTTAACAGAGACCAAGTGCAAATATTACCTTTTGCATTGCTACCAACAAGTTTTCCTAGAAAAAGCTTTGAAACTGCGAAAAGCGTACAAACTCTATTGAATGAACTCATCCATAAGGTTGCTTATAATAAGGAATTTATCGCAGCTAGTCTGAAAAGGTATTACCATTAAAATTACAATTATATATGTTTCCATTTTATATTTTAATACTACATCACATGTTTTTATGATAGCACGATCAAAGCTGATCCATTCACAGCAGAATTATTCCGTATATATGAAACTGTATACCAGGAAGGTTTTAGTCAGGTATACAATATTCAATGATGATATTCATCATTAGATGGTGAAGTGGTGGAATAATATTGCTTATATGACACTAAATATTTTTTATTCCTCTTTTTTTTTTTTTTTTAGCGTATAAGTCTTGGATTATTAAGGTCAGACTATTTGTTACATGGAGACTTAGGTGGTAAGATAAAGCAAGTTGAAATAAATACGATAGCATCTAGCTTTGCTGGTATAGCTAGTATTACATCACAATACCATAAGTAAATATTCAATATGAGTTTTTATTATAGAGAAATTTCATCATGCTTAAAGTTGAATATGCATATATAATAATGGATTTACTTTAAAAAATGTATTAATAACAGATTTATTTTAGATACATACTAGCAGAATTGGGATATACAGAGAAGGCAAGAAGTGTAAGTTGTTATTATTGTTGAAGAACATTTTCACAAAATATAGTTTATTGTATTGTCATTTATATTGCAATTGTTATATTGTCGTTATATTATAGCATGACTAAGTCTCGTATTATCCCTAGTTAGTGTTGCTACATTTTGGAGATGTTTCATACTACATTGTAATTACCATTTTTTATAAGATTCCAGAAAATAATGCTCTTACCGGATTTTGCAATGGATTAGTAGCAGCTTGGAAATTATACAACAATAAGGAGTAGGTTGTTTTAAACTAAATCTTACACCAGTTTCCAGTTTCTATTCTTCATAAATAAGACTTATGAATACAGAAGTGTTTCAGGGCTATTATATTGTTTGTTGTCGAGGATGTGACTTATAATATATGCGACCAAAGATTTCACGAATTTGAAATTCGTCGATTAAATCCAGAGATTAAAGTTATCAGAAGAAGTCTAACGAGTTTAGTATCCGAATCTACAATAAAGTTAGGACCACATAAGGAATTAATTGTGTAAGTTAATACAATCTCTTAATTTTAGTTTACACTGTAAGAACCGTACTATGAATGTTTACATAAAATATAAAGATTCTCGGGCTGAATGTCCTGAAAATCTTATAACGTGGAACATTTGAGAGACTGTATTGTCGTTTTGATCGTTTTAGTGGGAATATGATAGCGGCTGTGGTTTATTATCGTTCTGGTTATCAACTCGAAGCGTATCCTACAGCTCAAGAATGGGATACAAGATTGCTAATAGAGCGTTCACGTGCGATAAAATGCCCGTCGATACAGTATCACTTAGCAGGTACTAAAAAAGTAAGTATTGTTTAGTACAAAATAATATATAAGATATATGTGTATATACGCACGTGCACACATGCATTCAGAGTCGTTCATTTTTAAATGACACGTTGATATCTCAAAAACCGCAGCTGCTATTGTAGACATAAAATGGTACCATTAGTTTAACTTTAGATAGTCGTTTGAAAATCATCTGAAGATTCTCTTCAATTTCTTAAATAGAAACTCTCATTTTTCATTCCACAATTTTGCAATCGAAATTCACTACTATACGTTACAAACTCTTCTGTGATCATAATTCTTTGAAATATGAGTATAAAGTTTAAGTGCCGCCGACATTAACATTACCTAGGGTGTATTACGTAGGAGTTACCCAATGTATGTATTCCAATCGTCGGGATGTCGCGCGCGCGTGCGTGCATCTGTGCGTGAGTGGAGAGAGGGGAGGGGGAGAGAGGGAGAGAGAGAAAGAGGGGAGATATCTACTGAATCTTGTTATTACACATTTCAATATTTTGGTGTTTAGGTGCAACAATCCTTGGCTCAATCGAGTATATTGAAGAAATTTCTAACAGATGAAGAATCCATCACTAAAATACAAGAAGTATTTGCCGGTTTATACACATTAGATTTTGTAAGAAATTTATATTTATCTTAGTTAATTAATACGCTTATGCTAGATTTGACGCTTATGCAAATCATAACTTTCAACATTAACTTTGGTAAGTTGAATAATACACTTGTTTCAATAATAGACTGATGACGGAGAAAAAGCATTGACAATGGCTATGAATGAGCCAAGCAAGTATGTCCTTAAACCGCAACGAGAAGGAGGAGGAAACAATGTATACAATGATGACATAAAAACATGTCTGAATTCTATGAAAAATACAAAGGAGAGAACGGCGTATATTCTCATGGATCGCATTTATCCTCCTTTACAGACAAACTATCTGATACGTGCCGCTCAAGAACCGATATCAGAAAGTAACGTCAGCTTATCGGATGTTGTGGCGGAACTTGGTATATATGGAGTAGTAGTGGGGTAAGCACGTGCGAGATGACTCGCGTTTAGCAGCCTCGTATCTTTTACTGACGAAAGACTAGATAACATTGAACGTAGCATTAACACAACATCATGTTCGTGTATTTTTCAGAGATGGCAAACAGATAATGATGAATGAAGAAGTTGGTCATATTTTGAGAACCAAATCGTCGACCGAAAATGAAGGCGGAATAGTGGCGGGTGTTGGTGCGCTTGATAGTCCTTATCTTATTAGTTGAAACGATAATACAATGACGTAAATTATAGCGTAAATTGCAGTATGATTTGCGAATGTTTGCTAGCCGTTTCGACTGTCATTGTGCATTTTATTACCCATACAAGAACTCAAGTCCGGACATTTAATTGCACTTTTCAAGAAATTTCGAGAGTTAGATTACATTCACCTCTTTCCGTGCCCTTTTTTTTTTTTTCTTTACGAGACAACTCAAACTCGCGTTGATGGCTGTAAAACCTGTAAGTACTTTTAATAATATTGTAATGACAATTTTCTTTAATTTCACATGTAATGATAAATTAAAAACTCGATTTTAATATTACACGTCACGATTAACATTAAACTGGGGTTAGTCATGTTTATACACACACACACACACACACACACACACACACGTACACAAAATTGTAAATGGAATATAATTACGATTGTTTTAATTTGTTATCTTGTTACACAAAATAAGAATTATTATTTTATATAGGATCGTGGAAGAAGTATTTTTGTGCACGATAGGTAATATATATGAAAATATATACATTATGTTGACATAAAGATACGTGTATATACATGTATAGATCTCGGCAATTTTTTAACCCTTTTTAATACAATCTGGAATACGATAATGCAATTATCTTGTTACGCTTCGGCGTGTAGCCTGTTTAAAATAGAATAGAAAAATAAATATTCGCTAATATAAATATATTTGGGCAATATTTTATACAACCACGTTTCTCTTCTCGACAACGCACTACTTAAAGTGACGTAAACAATGTTGAATGAGATGGGAACCATCACCAAATTTTAGAGAAATGTAAATCTCGAAACATACTTAATATGTTGTAATACGTTTGTTTGTTTGAGTGATAGCATATTCAGACAGGCCCCTCAATGTATATAATATCGTATCATATCGTAGTTGTACTTGTAATATATATAACGGAGATGTATAATTTATATATACGTACATGTGTACTTTTACATTATATGTACATTACTACACCAGATCTACTTCTACACGAATGCCATTGCTGTAACGACCATAATTTGAAACGCACTTTAAAACCATATAAAGATTCTTGTTCGAACCTTTTAATCCTATTATTAAGGTTTCCTATTATGTTTCCTATTGTAACCTTGAATTTTATATTTTTATCGCACGAAAGAGATGAGGGTATCTTTTTTTTGTGCCACTTCGCCTTCTTTTCCCGATTGACTCGCATTTGTCGTTTCTGACTGCTTTATCCCACTTTCTTCCGCAGCAATATTCTACAAAAAGAAAAATTGAAAATTTTTAGGTATCGCACGCGCGCGCGCGCGCGCACACATACACACACACACACACACACACACACACACACACACACAATTATATATGGTTACATCAGTAGAATACATAGAAATCTTTGATAATAAATACGTATGTACATGTATGCGCGTAGTGTAGTACGTAATTGGAATATACAAGAAAAGCAGTACCACATTATCGAACACGTTATCGCCTACCGTTAATAACTTGTTGCTAATAGGATTTGTATACTCGTGTTGCCCGGGAGATATATTTGAAGCTGTCGAAATGAGCGTCGCCGCGACCTCATCTCTCCGATCGTATGATGGATTTTGGAAGCGAATACTGCTAAAATGATATTGTACCATCGTATGTTACTTTGCACGCACGAAGAATCATAATGTCGTACTCGGAGATTTCTAATAAAGTCTTGATTTATTAAAAGTATTGTATCTGACTTTTATAGTAAAGTCCGACAAACTCAAGTTCGGAACGTACCTAAGATTGTTCAGTGTAGTCATCTTTAATTTATTTTTTTGGTGATAAAAATAACCGGAAAGAATCAATATAATGATCACCAAAGCGATAAATATTCCGCTGTAGAAGCTATTGTAATGCTTAATGGGTTCTGCTCGAATGTCGGTGTTGTTCGAAGCGAACGTTGCTTTATTGTTACTCGGAATATCTGCCGTGCAAATGCTGTTGAGACCTGTCGGTTTACCATCTTGGCAAATACATGCCGTATCTTTGTCCTTCAAAACGCACATGTAGTTGCAGTTCCGATCCTTGCAAGGATTCTCGGCTATGAGACGAATGCAAAGTGGAATTTTATTTTGCTACTGTATTTTCGCTGCGTTTACCTTCTTTAAATGCAATGTACCAACCGGGAGGATGATTAGAAACATGTAGGATAGCGAAGTGTTTGTAAATATTAGCCGAACCTAAGTTCACCAATTCGCACAATTTTTCGCCATAGAGCTGGCACTTTTGCAACTGGCCGTTTGAACCCATCAGCCAGTAAAGCGAATTTTCGTAAATATTGATACTCAATGGTCGATATATCTGAAGATCGAGAGAGATTTATTATTTGAGAGAGTATTCGTGGCTTGAAATGTATGAAATGTTCGTGTATAATAAAATGTCGTGCTTCAAAGTCCGAGATAACGATAATCATCAACATACGTCTGTTTTTAAGAATGTGCTGCGTCCAGTACCATCCAAATTAGACGATTCGATGGTTCTGTAAAAGCTGTCCGTCCAGTAGAGTTTAGATTTCATACGATCGATCGCCATTCCACTCACGACGCCTACGTTTCGAGAAGCGATTATCTTCATATTGGAGCCCATCATGTCTGTCTGATATATTTCACTGAATGGGTTGTTGTACATTTGCCAATTGGTTTGACTCCAGAACAACCATCTGTAATAACACCGAGCGGTACTCTGAATCTTGTGAGATTTTTCTCTGAATTACACAATCGAAAGTAAGAAAAGTGCATATGTGGACACATGCGTTCAAAGAATATAGATACCTATTTTTCGGATCAACTGCAAGGGCCGTTACCTTACCAACACCTTCCATCGTGGCTATTGTCGCGCATTTCCCTTGTTCCAAATTACATACCTTTAATTAATATATGAAATTAATAATTAACTCCAACTAAAATAACAAACACTCCCATTGGTCTAAAGCCGAGGAGAAATCTACCTTGATCGTATTTGGACGATTGTTGTCGTTAAAGTAGATATTATTAGTGATCCAGTCGACTGCAAGTGCTTCCGGATTTCCAACACTTGTGACAAACTTGGATTCTTTCGTCTTGACGTTGAGTTTATTAATTGTGCCCAAGTTATCTGCGTATTATTGTCGATAGTTGCATGAATATTAAAACTTTTCGGACATGTATTCTATATAATAATGTCTTAAATATCTTTTCTCTTTGGTAACTCTTTCATGAAAGCGTCTCTCAGATTCGTGTGTGTGTGTGTGTGTGTGTTGTGTGTGTGTGTGTGTGTGTGTGTGTGTGTGTGTGTGTGTGTGTGTGTGTGTGTGTGTGTGGGTGGGTGTGTGTGTGTGTGTGTGTGGGTAGGTGTGTGTGTGTGTGTGGGTAGGTGTGGGTGTGGGTGTGGGTGCGGGTGCGGGTGTGCGTGTGCGTGTGCGTGTGTGCGTGTGTGTGTGTGTGTGTGTGTGTGTGTGTGTGTGTGTGTGTGTGTGTGTGTGTGTGTGTGCGTGTGTTCTTTTTGCATTTCTGCAGATGACGCGTCTTGTAACACTTGAAACAAATACTAACCGTTACTCCAGTAAATCGCGTCGTCGATTGCGTTCACGTCGAGGCCGCTTACGCTCAAGCCAGGTAACGAATAGATCACATCGATCGATTGCGCATTCGACGATATCTTTCTGATGTCTCTATCGGTGGCGGCGATCAATTCCATCGGTGGTCCTACCGAGACAGACGATTACCAGTTGATATTCATATCCTGGATGACTCCGTAAGAGAAGATTTAACCGAGACAACTCTTACCGATGGCTTTACAAGAAATCTTATCGTCACGAATAATGTAGCCGTCGAAACACGAGCACACGAAAGAGCCCGCACTGTTGTGGCATAACTGCGAGCAAACGTCATGTTCGCATTCGTTTATCTCGTCACAGGATACCATGTCGGCGGCTAGGCGATATCCCTTTACACAGCCGCAAACTCCACCCCGAGGCGTCTTGTGACATAGACCGTGGCAGCGGTTGTTCTGCATACACGATGTTGCTGTGCGGCAAAAAGTAACGCATTCTGAGTAGCGCATGGAAGACGAAACGTTTGCATTCTACAACAAATATTTGTCAATCGATCGAAATCTGTTTCCCTGAATTCTTCAAAGCACTTTTTAAAGCATGGATTGCAAGGCTTTATCTGCGACAATAATACCAGGTCTTCCTCTTGTGTGTTTTAGAAGATATATCTCGTGTGTGTGTGTGTATGTATGTATGAAAATATTTTTTAATAAAAATAATCTTAACATAATTTGAACAGCAAAGTATCGCAAGCGATAGTATCACAGGGACATTAATTTGTATCTCTGATCTCCCTAAAGCCTAATTCTCCTTAATATCTAATAAACAGTAATCAACTAACAGTAACATTACATTGATATCATAATTTCTTACTACTACAGCAGTTTACATGTAATATACTACACGTTGAACAAAAAACAGTTAGATTGTTGAGTGAGAAATGATAATGTTGCTTTTACCAGTTGGCGTTTTACTATTACAGTTTATACATACACACACACACACACACACACACATATTACTGGGTAATATTAAAAAAAAAAGAAGAAAAAGAAACACAATAGTTCCCGATGTTAAGTAAATGTATCGATGAATCTCAATGACAATTACTTGCCCCATCGTGTCAATTAGAAATGTCCAATAACTTACCGCATTTTTCTTGTTCGTCGCTACCGTCTGGGCAGTCTTGTACACCATCGCATACTTTGCTAAATGGTAAACAAGTGCCACTGGAACACATGAATTCTTCACATATGTCGGATGAATTCACTACAGTTTTCTTCCAGTTACTCCTGCCGCACCCCTTCTCGTCTGACTTATCACCACAGTCATCGGTTTTGTCGCATACCCAAGTCTGCGGGATACACTTGAGATTGTCGCAGGTGAATTGATCCTCGAAACAGTAAGCACAATCGTGCTCGTCGTCGTTTTTTGGACAATCCTGGACACCGTTACATCTACAACGACGAGCAATTTATTTAGCGTATAATTAGTTATGGTTCGTGCACCTTATACACTATCACTATAAGTGTAACTGTGTCTACAACACAACAAACTACAACTGCAGTTGTAAATAATGTTATAACAATCCACGTTATCTCTCCCACCACAGGGAAGAAGATAATTTTAGCGAGTTAATTTTAGCATTTCACTACTCATGTACTACCATGTATCGCTCACGTTCTATACATTTTGATTTTTAATTAACTCACCTCACCTTCTTCGGAAGACATATATCTGTGTTATAGCATGGATACTCGCCGTCAGTGCAATTACCAGTATGACCATGTTTTCCGCTCAGACAATGCTGCTCGTCGCTCTCATCGCCGCAATCATTGAAGCCATCGCACTTCATTGAAGAAGATATGCAACGACCATTGGCGCACCTAAACTGCCCGTCGTTGCATACGCTTGTCTTGCAGATCTTTACGGCTTCGTCCGAACCGTCCGGACAATCAGTCTTAAGCATAAAGACGTGAGATTATATAAAAATGACATTGTCACGTATTAAATGCAAGATAAAGAAGCTTTAGAAGAAGTAAATCCCCAATTTACAATCTTACAAATTACAAAAATTTGAAATATTTGAAACAGATAATAATTGCAAACAAGTGAAATTAAGCGCAGTAAGCGCTAAAAGTTAAGCGATACAAAAAATTTAAATTGTAATTGTAACTTCGTAATTCGACATAATAATGAACTTACTTGACCGTCGCATTTCCAGATTTTCGGAATGCACTTTCGCATGTCGCACGTAAATTCGTTCGAGGAGCATTTGTGTGTTTCGCAATTTAGCTCGTCGGAAGTATCGAAACAGTCAAATTGGCCGTTGCATACTAGAGAACTCGATATGCAATTTCCCTCGTGGCATCGGAACTCGTCTGAAAGATACATTGCGTAAGTAAAAGGATTTTGCGAATTTAATTCTATGCAATCCTATCTGTCACTCTGTCTAAGTAAAAGTTAAAAATTAAAACATGTTACTACGGCTTTCGAACAGGTATACGAATATATTTCGAAAGTATTGTATGTTACATACACAGTTGCATATACAGTTGGTTGTTTTAAATATTCAATATCAAAAACACATTAATTCACGACGATAAATATACGTGTCAACCAGCAGAGAAGCAGTTATTAGACATAACATTAAGTAATAAGTATATGTTGCCTTTTCGACAAGATGCAGCCTTGCACTTTTCCTCATCTTCGTCGGACCTATCAGCGCAATCGTAGCGCGAGTTGCACCAATCTTCCCGATTTATGCACTGGCCATTTTTACACATGAATTTATCTTTCCCGCAGTGGCCGGATTCCTTACAGCCATTTGGCTCGTCCTCACCGTCCGGGCATTCTTTGATACCGTTACACCTGAATAAATATTATACGGATTTCGGACATATAATTCGCACTTGTTGATATATTCACATTCGTCTGTATTGTATACGGTAACGTATTAAAAACGATATACGTGTGTGTGTGTGTGTGTGTGTGTATATATAAAATGTTGCATCTTTTTCTCCTTAGATTGAACGGTAAAAAAGTCTAAACTAACTTCAACTTCAACAAGTCTACAAATAACACATCAAAGTGTGTAACACACAAATTGTTAGAATCATCACTATTGAGGTATATGCCAGTTTTGAAATAATCATTGCTGAAATATACATGCTAGTCCTGAATAAGCTGTATATAGTTTACTACATATCTACCAATATATGCAGTACAGACTAGATGATAGAGAGAAGCAAGATGATGGTAAGCATTACTTACCATTGCTGCCGTTTTATACAGACGTCGTTTGACCCACCGCATTTAATCTCGCCAGCTGGACAGATAGATTGTCCACTGCATGTATGATTATCCGCGCTTAACGTCATTCCGGAAGGGCAAGCACAAATCTGAAAGTTTTCGTAACGCGTCAAACTGAACAATCAACTTCGATATATTTCTTCGCTTGCTGATCGTCAAGCTGATAAAAAAAAAAAAAAAACATCGTGCCCACACAGATCAGACATAACACAAGTATTTATCGACATGTGCGTAATATTCTAATTCAATATATTTGCATTGTATTCGTAATCAAATATTTGTATGGTCGCATCGTCTCTCTTGTGCACACTTTAGTCGTGTGCAAAATACGTATATACTTACATACGATGTATCAGAAGATGGTAAGCACACGTGCGAGCAATTGCCATTGTTTTTGCGACAACCGTACTCCTCGTGGACAGTGATCCCATGTAAAGCTATCAGATGCGCTATTTCTACTTTGTCTAATGTGGCTAGAAAGAGAACGTATATGTCGCCTGATAATCATTCTACATGTTTGTGTTTTCCATTGTTTCCTGAAACGTCAAACTCACGAATTAGGACACCGTTGTTCTTCTGATGGATATCGTTTTTATCTGCCCAGAACAATCTATCTGATCTGCGTTGAGTCCAGAAGATGTATTCTCCAGCGATAGTAAGACTCACGGGCTCATTTAGGCCGGTACGGAAGAGATATTTGTTGAAACCTAAAAGTGTTTGATTGCTCGGCATTATCGCTCAGCATTATGCCTGTTTAATTGTAATTAAATATTTCGAGCGCACGCTCGAACATGCTCGAATTTGCGCTTTAAGAGACATGTATCGGTTTAATATGAATTAATTTAAACTTTGCCTGCGAAATATTTGCAACGGTTAAGCTAAAGTGACAACCTGTAATCGCAGCGCTTTCAATACTGCCAGTGCCTTGATCGCCCCAAAAAATTTTTCTCTGGTCTCTGTCGTAGCACAACGACACCTTCGGGCCCAACAAATCGCTGTCTACAAATTTCGTTCTCACACCAATTCCAGTCATATGCATTTTATCTATATGATAGCCATTCTCGCCTCGGAATACCACAAACATTACGCTACGATATGCAGAACGTTACATGTTAATGTTCGCAAATAATAACCGCAATCGTAATGGTACTTGTGCAGTCAATTGTAAACGCAATGTACCCTTCTTCAGACACCAATGCAATGTCGTAAAGCTGTTCTTCAAAATAAAAGGTCGTGTTTGCTGTGCTCGATAGACTATGTACTTCGATAGTTCTTTGTTCTATGTCCGACAAGTATAAATTGTTACCAATGTCATCAAAGGCCATTCCTCCTAAAATTTCATTCCTCATGGATATAAAAGTCTCAGTATCGCCGTGGACTGGATCGTAACGGACGATGTTGTTTTTAAATTGATCGCTTGCAAATATGACGCCTAAATAAAATGTAATTGTAAGATAGATGGATATATAGATGGATCGATAGATGGAAATAACGAGAGAGAGAGAGAGAGAGAGAGAGAGAGAGAGAGAGAGAGAGAGAGAGAGAGAGGGGGAGAGAGAGAGAGAGGGGGAGAGAGAGCGAGAGAGAGCGAGAGAGAGAGAGAGAGAGAGAGAGAGAGAGAGAGAGAGAGAGAGAGAGAGAGGGAGAGAGAGGGAAAGAGAGGGAGAGAGAGGGAGAGAGAGGGAGAGAGAGGGAGAGAGAGGGAGAGAGAGGGAGAGAGAGAGAGAGAGAGAGAGAGAGAGAGAGAGAGAGAGAGAGAGAGAGAGAGAGAGAGAGAGAGAGAGAGAGAGAGAGAGAGAGAGAGAGAGAGAGATAGAGAAAGTTTATGTAAAAACTATAGCATAATGTGCTGTGTAAAATAATAATCTCACCAGAAAGCGAATCGTATGTTACCGCGGTGATATGTCGGTAGGTTTCGTTCGCAGTTATTTTCGGTTTTCCCAATAATTCGTGATAATAGTCTATGAAAACGCCTTTAGCAGCAATAATAATGTGCTGTCTCTTGCTCATATCTAAAATTGTATTTATGTTTTAATGATAATTTTATACTAATAACTAATAATTAAATTAGAATTTTAATTTATGTCATTAAAAATATAATATAAATATCTATTAACACCAATGTGAAAATGTATCAAATTGGGTCAAAAATCAATGTATGTTTGCTGACGTCAAATACATCTTTAAATTATTGTGAGAATTGAGAGACAGATTATTTTCTTAAACGCTTAAACGCGCTATTCCTCGATTAATTTACCTCGGCAGGTGTGTTTGTCGGACTTCAGATCCTTGTCTAGGGTACAAGCACACGTATAACTTTCATTTTGATTCAACATGCATAGCTGTGAGCAAGGCTTCGAGTAACATGGATTGCGAATCTGAAATTAAATTCTACCATAAAATTGATAATTTTTACAAATTTATTTTATTATGTAAGGTAATAATAATGTGACATATATATATATATATATATTATATGTCACATTATTATATATATATATGTGATATATATATATATATACATATATATATATATATATATATATATACATATATATACATATATATATATATATATATGTATAGATGTGTGTACTTTAGGCTTTAACGCTGGATGTTCGATATGTACGCCGTACGGTGTATTGCTAGTACGAGTCATAATCTCCCAATCTTTTCCGGTAAACTTATTGCAGGATTGTATAGTTTTCTCGGTCCAGTCACTCCAGTACAATTTATTTTCAAAGACCGCCAAGGAAAATGGATGTTGTATAAGTTCGTGCAATACTGTCTGCAGATAATTGAATTATGAATGAAATATAATAAATGTATATACCCTTCGAATCGTCGAATCTCGATCATATTTTGAGCCTTTTGTAAGATGGAAGAAAAGAATGCTAACCCTTCGATCGCTGCCGTCTAAACGTATTGATTCGACAACAGCCAATTTAGCGTCAACCCAATATAATCGGTTGTTTGGATAGTCGATAGTCACGCTTATTGGCCATTTTATATTTTTAGTGACGAATAAATGACTATTTTTGCCATCCATCCCTGCCATCGCTATATGTGCGTTGGGGCCCCAATCACTCCAATACATTATTCTGCAAATATTATTATTATTATTATTATTATTATTATTATTATTATTATTATTATTATTATTATGTATACAACAACATATTTTTTCATGTATCTACATGTAAATGCATGTAAAAAGTAAAATAGGAATACGATACATGCAAAAATAAAATGGGAATTTCAATTTTTTCATTCTCTTTTTTTTTTCTTCTTTCTCTTTTTCCTTTTTATACAGTGGACGAGATTAGAACAGGATGCGTCGAAAATGATTGGATTTGGTTTACATCGATAATTGGAACTTTTTAAGATATGTAATATTTACCCCTTATTTGGTAATAAGGCGAGTCCTTTCGGCTTATTAATTTGCTCGTTAATTAATACGGTGCAGTATGTGCCGTTGTTGTCGCAAACTCCGATACGCGCGTAACCTTCGTCTGTGAAATATATGTTACCTGTGATCCAGTCGACAGCTATATCCGTCAACACGTCTAAGCCTTTACAAAGGGAATATGCGAAATTTAAGAAATGCAATAATAATGATAATAACAAACAATAAATAATACAACATAATAATAATAATAATAATAATAATAATAATAATATAATAGTATATAGTAATGATAAATAATAACAACTGAAACAATAATACAACTTTCTCAGATATAGTGACTGAAGTATAATGAAAGGATTACATTAGATTTCATTTTATTCAAAATTTATGTCATTCAAGGACTCATAAGATATGTGATTCATAAGATATTGTTACAATATTTGTAACAAGTATTTTCCTGCGTTGTAATGCGTGGTAATGAAGAATGGATTAAACTATTATCGTGACTCGTATAATTTACGAAATAAAAGCAGGATTCTAATGTTACCGCTTCATGTTATTAAAAAAACGGAAAGAGCAATATATATTTTCTCTTCAAAGCAGCGTGTGTGTTAAAATAATGGAAAGAGTGATCTTTACAATACAATACTTTGCAAAGATCACAACTGTTCGATAATGTCACTAACAAAATGCTTACCTGCTGTAGCGATAACTTCGTTCTTTCTCCTGTAGAGCTTACTTTTCACAATCGCTTCGTTGCCTTGCGCTACCTCGGACCAATATATATAATCTTTGTTCATAGCGACACCGACAACATGGCTCAAGTTTCGCACTGCGGTAAAATACATTCCCGAAGTTAGGTACACTCCTCGGATCTTTGTTGTCGTAGAATATATCATTGTAGCTTCGCCACCTGAGATAAAACGAGATAAAAATTCAAGTAAAACTTTTCGTACATACACAAGTGATTGTCATTACGTTCATGAATTAATTTACCGTCCGCACGACAGGTTCTCATGTCGTCCAGCAACATATAACCCGTTTGACAGATACACTTGTACGACCCTTTTGTATTTATACATCGTTGATCACATGTCCCATAAATTGCACACTCGTCGATGTCTGATGATAAAAAGAAGGATCATTGTAGATAGACGAAGCGCCATCTTCGCGCGATTGTTGCACATCACATTGTTAATGTTACCTATGCACGTGCGATTATCTTGCAATATATAACCAGCTCGACAGGTGCAAACAGGTCCGTTAGGAGTCATCCTACACATATCGCTACATCCCATTGATGCGCATGACATTGTACCTGCGAGAGAACAGATATTATTGCACAGATAATATCTGTGACAAATATAGTATATTGCGGAATATATATCGGTACGTTACGAGAGATGGAAACGGTAGGTGGCAGTGAATAATTAAAATGCATTGAAATACGACATACTATTTTTACAACCGACGCCTTCATCAGATCCATCGCCGCAGTTGTCCTTTCCGTTGCATACCGTGCTAAGAGAAATACATCTTTGATTTTTACACAGGTATCGATCGTTCTTATTTGTACAATCGCTCGCGTTTAATATTTTATTGCCTGCGAAGATGTAAGACAATGTTAAAAGGAACTTCTGTCCGATGTAATAGAATTATCAGTTCTCTTTTCCCCTAGAGTTCATTAAGTTAAGTAACATTATTGATAATAACAGATCTTTAAGACGTTACCGCAATTTTGCTCGTCACTGCCATCGGGACAATCCATTGCGCCGTCGCAGACCCAGTCCCTCGCTATACAATGCCCGTCGGAGCAACGAAATTTGCCTCTGCACTTCAACTATCGCGAGAAAGAAAATGCGAATTTAACACTGTGCCGAGTAGATATCGCAAAGAAATCAGTATACGATAATACACACAGAAAATTATGATCCACTCACTTTTTTCACACAGCCAATGTACTCGTCGCTTTTGTCCGCGCAATCGGGCACTGCATCGCAAAATTTTCCCTTTGGTATGCATTTGGCATCCTCGCACCTAAATTCGTCTCTGGCGCATTGGATGGAAGCGGGCACTATCAGCTGAAGGCACACATGTGTGAAGACATTATTTTACGTCTCATATTACATGTGCATGCGATACATGTACGTGTGATTCAGGTAAGAAGTACAAAAAATATTCATGCGCTGATTTACAAAAGAATGTTCCAAATTTATGCAAAAAATGTGAGCAACAGTCGAAACACATGTCCGGCAAGTAACAAGCTTTCTATGTACAAACTACGTGTAATACTCACCTTAAAGTCCTCGCAATTTCTTTCGTCCGAATTATCGCCACAGTCATCATATTCGTCACACTCGAATGTGAATGGTATGCACTTGCTGTTCTCGCATCGAAACGAGTGAAGACTTTGGCAATCAGTTACGAAGCTTTCTAACATAATACATATTTTTATTGCGCATCAATAATTTGTATACTTGCACGTAATTCGTATGTTCGAGAAATGCAAGTAAATAAATAATAACACAAGTGTAGATTTATTTCCATGTATAAGCATACATATAATTATGGAGCTTTAAAATTCCAACACAAAATAAATGCGTTATAAACTGCTAAAAATTAGTTTATCATAAAAAAGAATTTCCATTTTAATACAACTTCATTACCCATGTAGTATATTTGATGCAAGATGTAATAATATTATCTCACCTATACGATGAAAATAAGGGTGTAGAAAACTGCATATGAGTAACAGGTCCACGACGCGGTGCATGACCTCTAAGCATAAATATCTTAAATTATTATTATAATTAAAATAATTAGATTTTATTTTCTTTCTTTTATACGTTGCTTTTTTCTTTTGTTTCTTTTACCAAATAAAATAGGCACATTTTGTGATTCATGAAATTATAAGATGTAAGTGTCGTTAGTCTCTTGCGATATTTTTGTTATTATAATTAAACAATTTGTGACACTATTGATACAATTTAATATATGTACGCACGCGCGCACGTGTGTGTGTGTGTGTATGTGTGTGTGTGTGTGTGTGTGTGTGTGTGTGTGTGTGTGTGTGTGCGTGTGCGTGTGCGTGTGCGTGTGCGTGTGCGTGTGCGTGTGCGTGTGCGTGTGCGTGTGCGTGTGCGTGTGCGTGTGCGTGTGCGTGTGCGTGTGCGTGTGCGTGTGCGTGTGCGTGTGCGTGTGCGTGTGCGTGTGCGTGTGCGTGTGCGTGTGCGTGTGCGTGTGCGTGTGTGTGTGTGTGTGTGTGTGTGTGTGTGCAAATCGTGTACGAGTATACGCAATATTATGAAATCATGGAATATAAATATCGTTAGTGTCTTACAATACTTTTGATATATGAATTAAATACAATTTGTATTACTCCAGGCAGAATAGAAAATCACGATGACATGAAAATGATGAGTCAAAATGATGAGAAAAACTCATTTTTTCATCACAATTCGGTCATTTTGATGTCATCATGATTTTCTGTTCTACCTAGGGCTATTATTCTATAATTTATCATGGGCGAATATGTAAAACACAACCAAAACACTGACAAATGATCGTATTCACTAAATTTTCATAACTAATCTTTGCAAAATTTCATCACACGTATATTTGATGACAAATTGAAATTACTGAAATATTAACAATTAGACTAAAAGACAAATATACACACACACACACACACACACACACACACAGAGAGAGAGAGAGAGAGAGAGAGAGAGAGAGAAAGTGAGAGAGAGAGAGAGAGAGAGAGAGAGAGAGAGAGAGAGAGAGAGAGACCTACAATTAGAATTATAATTTATAATTTTGTACGATATGAACTAATATTTATGTCAGTAATATTTCAATATGATTGAAATATTCACTCTTGATAAAATATTATTCTTGATAAAATTGTTCGATCAGAAAATGAGAAATACTTATGATTGCTAATAACATGAGGCACAACTTGAAATATTGACTCAGAATAGGCAGAAGGAAAATGTATATCTTTTACAAATAAAAAGCGTGCTCCTCAAAATATGAATGAGTGTGCACATATATATGTAACGTATTATTCGTACCTTGAGAAGAGAAAAGAAGTTGTTATATCAGACACGTCGTACGATCTATCTGTTCCTGAGACGTTGAGTTCAAATTCAATCCTTGTTTTCGCTACGGCTGTTATGAAGACACTAAAGGTTGTTACCGATAACATAGCGAAGTTATAGAAATTTCATCCAGATATACACAAACAGCAGACACATAGACATTCGTCATGACAGTACAAAGTTTAACAATCTCATGCGCAAACTCAGCCACGTTGTCTTTACGAAATTTGATTATTGTAATTTAATAAGTCTGACAGGTGCAAAATGTGACAATAGTTATATTAATTTTATTTTCCAATTATATTATCAATTACGTCATAAACAATCATATATATTTCAATCTTAATGATATTTGTCGTGCGAGAAGAATGTGTAATTGGCAAGTTATACTTTTAACGTTTCAAATTCTCTGATCGTCTGCTGAATATTACCGACCATTTAATAATACGCCACCGCTTGGTTGAAACAAAAACCGATCAAACGCCACGACAGTGTCATATTGCCGCTGTGGCGAATAGCGGTTAAAGGTTCTTTATGCTCTCTGCGGACGGTAGTGTTCCATTTTTTTACTTGAACAATCATGCCGCGTTGCTTGATAAAGTCGATGGCGCGATATCAGAAGACGGACAATTCGAGCGAAGGTATTTTGTACCCTATGAGATTCCTTTACATCTCTTCTCTCACACCAGGAATACTTATCGTCTGTAATATCCAAGAAGGAACCCAAATTTCATCAACAAATTGTGGAAAGTTCAATATGTGTGTGTATGTGTGTGTGTGTGTGTGTGTGTGTGTGTGTGTGTGTATGTGTGTGTGTATGTGTGTCTGTCTCTCTCCTCTCTCTCTCTCTCTCTCTCTCTCTCTCTCTCTCTCTCTCTCTCTCTCTCTCTCTCTCTCTCTCTCTCTCTCTCTCTCTCTCTCTCTCTCTCTCTCTCTCTCTCTCTCTCTCTCTCCCCCCCCCCTCTCTCGGTGTGTGCACGCGTATGCGTGTGAAATTATTGAAATTACGATCAGAGATCCGTTACTTTGACCTTGGCTATCGTCGCGATAACAATCTTCACACGATCTCAGCACATGCCATTTTCACCAAGTATTACCAGGTGCTATTTATGAAACAGAAATGATTCGTCTAGGAAGACACAACTGAAAAATATTTTCTCGTAAATTATATAAAAATAATATAAATACTACGGTAAAATAATTCAAATTGCCAGATATGTGAGAAATAGGAATTTTACATATTTTATTCTTATAAATCAAATTTGTAAATCGCTTATTTGTTCGGCGAAGAGAAAAAGATATATTTGTCAGAGACAAGAGAAACAAACAACGACACTTAAAAAATGTCCAGTGGTAGTGACGATTGTTTAATTTTGCAAGAAATGAATTCCTGTCCTGTCTACGTTTCTGTCCATCACTTGCGAAGAGTTGCTTCAGAGTCCAATATGTGATACATAATAATATAATTTTTACCATGTACTTCAAACTCTGGCCGTCATAATATTGGATATTGATGTCCGTATGAAATTAATCTTTACAGAGGCTGAATTTTCGTGGCTGCCACCGTCCATAGATCCTAAGCAAAAGAATCGCACAAAAGATGTAACGTCAAAGACGAGCAATATCTGGACATGCTCGGGGCTTCCTATTGTGACTCGATACAGCTTCCATAAGATCAATAACGCGATGTTCGATGCAGGATTAAATACGGTAGGTCGGAATATATGTACTGCTTCGTCGATCGGCGGAAACCGACGCGATTGATGTTAAGGCGCCTGAGATATTGCTCGACAACATGTCTCGATCTTTTCGCAACGCGAAGGAATCGGCAAGAGCGACGGAGCCGGGAGCACTGGGAAAAATTGCCGGGACGGTGGATCAGAAGATTGTAACGGACAGCTGTGAAACGCAGACGCTCTCGCAGGCGTTGTACTTGGTCCCGAATACAAAGCACGAGCCGATAAATACTACCGAGGAGAAAACAAGTGCTAGAGAGAACGCTCAATCCTGGAAGAAAAATAAAACGATGCATTATTGCCCGTACTGCCGTAAGAGCTTCGATCGGCCGTGGGTCTTGAAGGGTCATTTGCGCCTGCACACAGGCGAGAGACCTTTCGAATGCCCAGTTTGTCATAAATCTTTCGCTGATCGGTGAGTGAGGGTAACGAAAGGTTTTCAAGAATGTCAATTACTATTAATTAATTAATTAATTAGTAAGAGTCTTTGCTCGAGAATATACAAACTCCGAACGAGAGAGCGAACATAAATGTTTGAACCGATTGGAGGAATTTGTTTTTTTTCTTGAAACTGAAAACTTGATTATTTACATTAATTGTTGAATTTTCAAATGAAACTGAAATGACATTAATTTAACGAGCTTCAAACTACGAAGTAGAAATTGCTGGATCGAAAGAAAAGAGTGATGTGACTTTAATTTAACGAATAATGCAAAGGAATGATAACCGATTATTTCTGATTGTATATTGTATCTCTTTGAGTATCTTTGTCCTGTGTGTGTTGTTGAATTCAATATTTGTACTGTAGCAATAATAATTATCGCCGGCCATTGACGCCATTGTCATATCATTGGCTGCGTTCAGTAGAACAAAATGATCAGTGAGCGCTTAGTGATTATTGTCTGTGATTGGAGCATTCTTTTAGATTCTTCATAGACCCAGAAGTATTTACCAATCAGGAGCGAGAATCACTAATCACGCTCACTGATCACTTTGTTCTGCTGGACGCAGAACCATTAATTGATCACATTGTGATAAACTTTGCAGGTCGAATCTGCGCGCTCATCAGAGAACACGTAATCATCATCAGTGGCAGTGGCGTTGCGGCGTGTGCTTTAAGGCTTTCTCGCAAAGGCGTTATTTGGAGCGTCACTGTCCGGAAGCCTGTCGCAAGTATCGTATATCTCAGAAGAAGGATCTCGTCTGCTCGTAAGAACACAGATCAGAAACATTCATCCAGGCGAGGGATGTCGATATAAAGTTGCGGTTTACCGATGCATAATGTTATCATATATCGCAATATTATCGTTACGTTTGGATGTAGTAACGAGAGAAGAGTATGCTCTAACCTATTTTCCCATATTCTCAATAAAACTTTATCGTAATATACTACTTTCATTCGCTTTGCGACACCCTATCGCGATATCATCTAAAGAATATCGTACGAACACTGCATTTTTGCCAATATCCTCGCTAAATATTCAAGCCCGCGGTGAGAGAAAATTGCTCCCTCGTCGCGGATGTACACAACAGAGTTTCATCGGTTCCCCGTCTTTGGTTCTCTGCTGAACAACACGAAACATCCGGTATAATTTGAATTGTTTCGTATAGCAACATATGAGGCAACGAAGTGTCCCTTGCGGTTGCGTGTTCAACCTGCGCAGATTGGTATATGGCGCCAAGAACGATTCGATGTTTTTCAACAGCAATGGACACCGGTCCAGCGATAGACAAAGCTCTGATAGTTTTGGCACGAGGATGTAAGATACGATCGATTGTGGGGATTTTTCAAAATTTCTATCAATAGAAATAGAAAAGTAATAAAGAAAGAAGAGAGTAGACGGAGAAGGAGAAAAGTGCCATCTTCCAAAGAAGGCAGACATCGGTTCCTTTCAGTTGCACCATGTTACACTTTTTGCACTTGAAACGAAATTAGACTGTATATTAAAAAGATATATTATTTAAAGTTACTACGGGGTAGTAAAGTATAGAGAGGAAGAGAGAGAGAGAGAGAGAGAGAGAGAGAGAGAGAAAGAGAGAAATAAAGATGATAAAGGAAAGGAGGGGAAACAAAGTGCACAAGTGCGACACAAAGGTGTAGATGTTGCATGGGAAAAGCGTGTAAATAAAGTTTGTTCTGTATAGTTGTACACTTGTTTACAGCTTTCATCGTTTACGCTTATGATAGAAAATAGCTACTTGTTCAACACTTGTGATGAAAGAGAGAAGAAAATGGAAAGGTAGTAGTTAGTTCAAAGATAGTTCAAAAAGTGCATCCACACAAGTGAAAAATGTCACAGATCGAACAGCCAATGGGACTGTATAAATAGGAGGAAGTACATGAGAACAGTGTCCGAAGGCATTGATCGCGCGTTCAACATGGTAGTTTCGCATCTCAGTGTGCAGTTCTTTCGTGACACGATTCGTGCCTCACGCAACGAGTGATAATCGTCGTTCACATTTGACGCAGTGCACTGTAGTCGGGAATTCGAGATACTGCAAACGGAACGCAATCGCAGGCGAAACCGACACAGAGCAGAGAGACGAAGAGTCAACCGGCGCGCGTTACGCGACAACGCTTTTTTCTCCCGAGCGTGGCTCAACGAATAAAGCGGTAAAGAGAGAGACAGAGAGAGAGAGAGAGAGAGAGAAAGAAAGAAAGAAGAGGTAGTAGCGCGCCACGCTGTGAACAGCAACGGTGACCGGACGCGGTCACCCAGCGCTGTGCGAGAAGTCAACGAAATCACTGACATTGGGAACGGCCATTTTGGCTTATTGTTTCCCCCCCGATCGTAGTGCATAGATCGAAGCATACACGGCATCGACGTCCATCTGTTTCGAGGTAAGGAACACGCCGATATCGCACGTCCCGGACGCCTTGTTAGCTACCGAGCTTCGCGCCCCTCGTCGTCGTTTCGACGCCCCGCTCGCCGAGCGGCGCGCGTCTCTCGCGAGAATCGCCGTCGCAGAAAATCTGCCGCTCGTAGACAGTAGGTTAACGGTATCGCGCCCCGTTTCGTCTTTATTTGCCATCGTTCGTCGCGAGCGATGCTTTCAGGCTGAGAGAGCAGTTTCAAGCGAGGATGTCCCGGCAGATTTTGTCGGGGGAGAGAGAGAGAGAGAGAGATTGAGAGAGAGAGAGAGAGAGAGAGAGAGAGTGAGAGAGAGAGAGGGTGAGAGAGAGAGAGAGAGAGAGGGTGAGAGAGAGAGAGAGAGAGAGAGAAGGAAAGAGAGGAAGAGCTGTGGTTTGTATCCGTTAGAATCGTATCAGGAAATTTAATTAGACTGTTCAATGTGTTCAATGTGCAAATTACGCCTTTATCGATGGTTCCACGTACGTTACGTGTTTGAAATTCGTAAGATGTGTTTGCATATTGCATGACCGAACGACGTATCGGCTATCATTAATCGCGATCACTCGTGATCGCAGACGCGTGATTTGATACTGACGACGACGTATTCTTGTTGTTTCACAAGTATCGTTTACAGTATCTCTACTTTTTGACATACATTTCGTTGTTGTTTAGGGAACGCGGGTGTTCCCTAAATTGTAGTTGAGGAATGTTTCGTAGTTCTCTTCCGTAAGGTAAGCTTTCGAAGTTGAGAATACAGTTGTCTTATGATTACAGATGATTCTTTGTTTCTATTGTATAAAAAATATCATCTTATATATGTATATGTCTTCTTGTAAGAGCGAATGTTTTCTTCCCTCTCAGAATTCTGATTCAATTATGTATGTAAAATTTGCCAAATATTTCAAATGACAAGAAAGCTAAACTTTTTTTTAGCACAGTTAACTGCCATCAATATAAAGACGGTTATCTACATCTATTTTCATGCTACCTTGTACGTCCAAACATACAAAAACACTCAGCACATTTGAATGTATTTATAACAGCAAACATGGTATCTATATAGAGCCATACAGTCATTGTAGGTCAATTTTGTTTGGTCTTGTTCTCCTTCTGACTTTCTTCTGACTGTTCAAACGTTAATTTCGATATTTGGTACTTAATAAATATTTCTATTTGTCTTTCTTTCTCGAAATGTACTTGGAAAAATTTAGCACAATTTCAAAATAATTGTTATTTTCTAATCAGTCATACATACACGTACGCGCGCGCGTATGTGCGTGCCTGTCTGCTGCCTGCCTGCCTGCCAGTCTGCCTGTGTGCGTGCGTGCGTGCGTGCGTGCGCGCGCGCGCGCGCGTGTCATAAATTTTTTCAATTTCTTATGAAACGCTTCAAATATTAAAATAAAATTTTATCGAGCATGAAATTTCACCTACACAAGGAATTATATAGATATCGATGCTTTCTTTTCTTTTTATTTATTTGTTTTTTTTTTCTTTTCAAACTATTTTATATATTATTTAGTAATATTTCCTTCTTTTTCTTTTCAGAAAATAAATATACTAATTGATATATAATTCAAATAACATAATTTCCAAAATGATGACTGAAACACATATAAACTCTAACCATATGTTAAATTCTGGTTTGTCTACCAAATCAGAAATAGATAAAATGGATGATGTGGGTTGGAAAGCCAAATTAAAAATTCCACCAAAGGATAAAAGAATTAAAACAAGTGTAAGTTGCACATATGTAAAGAAAGAGGAAACAGCCAGCTTAATAAATATATATACATACATACATATATATATATATATATATGTAAAGTTTTATTATTTTTTTTACAAGACGAACATTTCACTTGAACATTGAAACAATCTGAGATGTTGGTAAAAATGAATTTTGTTTTTTGTTTTGTTGAACATATTGTAGGATGTTACCGACACACGTGGTAATGAGTTTGAAGAATTTTGCCTAAAACGTGAATTATTGATGGGAATTTTTGAAAAGGGATGGGAGAAACCATCGCCGATTCAAGAAGCCAGCATACCCATTGCACTTTCCAGTAAGGACATCTTAGCACGAGCGAAAAATGGAACTGGCAAAACTGGCGCATATTCAATCCCAGTGCTGGAACAGGTATACATTACAAAAGTGTCGACTTTTGAAGGGAGATATATATATAAATTCCACCATTATAATATCATATGTTATTTGTTAGGTTGACCCAAAGAAAGATGTAATTCAAGCATTGGTGATTGTACCTACGAGGGAATTAGCATTACAAACGTCACAGATTTGTATTGAACTTGCAAAACATATGGATATAAAGGTTATGGTTACTACTGGAGGTACCAACTTGCGCGATGATATTATGAGGATTTATCAAAAAGGTGAAATTTGGAAGAACATAAAATTTTGCGGATAATCAATGTTAAGTATGTATGTATGTACATAGGTTTAACAATGTATAATTAATATATATCTTATACTTGCAGTACAAGTGATAATTGCTACTCCAGGAAGGATCCTTGATCTGATGGATAAGAATGTGGCCAACATGGAGCACTGTAAAATTCTAGTTTTGGACGAAGCAGACAAGCTGCTGTCGCAAGACTTCAAAGGGATGTTGGATCATGTCATATCGAGGTGCGTTTATAAAGAATTATTTTCTAATTGATCCGGAGACTTTACACGTTGTTTCCTTTCTTCTGCGACAGATACTAGAGATACTAGAGATCAGCTGCAAATAATTGCGTAGAACAAAAAAAAATGTTAAATTCAATATTTTCCAGACGAGAAACAATCAAGGTTAATTGTTTTTGCACTTTTCTGTAATTGCTTGAAATACAAAACACACTTGTCGATGGCGTATTGTACCATGTGCGTATTTTTGAATACGCTGAATTAGCCAATTGCTAAAATCAAAACACAAAAGGGCGACAAAAGGGAGACCTAAGACCTCTAGAGCATACATAAAAAAAAAAAAAAGAAGAAGAAGAAAAATAAGAATAAGCCAATTACTAATTGACTCTTACTCAAAATTTATCGAATTCGTAATTGTTTCTTTCTTCACTCTCGGTACTAAGTTCTTGAACTCTAGCAAAAGTGACGCTAGCTTATGAAATGCTAACGATACGAGTATTGAATGTTGAAAGATGTATTTGATAATTCCTCACGATATATTGTATACGATTGTATACTTTTGCACTATGTTGCGTTATAATGCCATCATTGATCGAGAATGTTTAACTATCTGTATTTCTCATTAATAGTTTCTCATGCCATTTTATGGCACGTATTACTCGTTACTTTGTTTCCAGATTACCACACGAACGTCAGATTTTGCTGTATTCAGCTACATTTCCTCTGACTGTGAAACAATTTATGGAGAAACATTTGAGAGATCCATACGAGATTAATTTAATGGAAGAATTGACTCTAAAAGGCGTAACACAGTATTACGCTTTTGTACAGGAACGACAAAAAGTTCACTGCCTTAACACGCTATTTTCCAAGGTATGGTTCCAATTTCATGCCAACGTCAATGTTATAAATGTTTGCAAGAATGAATTGTCTCATTCACATATTATTTCCTCAGTTGCAAATAACGCAAAGCATAATCTTCTGCAATTCAACGCAACGCGTCGAATTACTGGCTAAGAAAATAACGGATCTTGGATATTGCTGTTATTACATACACGCGAAAATGGCGCAGGCGCACCGGAATCGCGTATTCCATGATTTCCGTGCAGGATTATGCCGAAATCTCGTAAGTTGATGTTGAAATTTTGATCATCTTATAAAAATCTTATAAAAAAAAAAAAAAACGTTTCTCTCCGGCAAATAAGTATCACTGACGTTTGTACCGATCTCTTGTTCAATTCAAAATTAAATAAAATCCAAATATTATTTTCTTGCAGGTGAGCAGTGATCTATTTACCCGCGGTATTGACGTTCAAGCTGTGAATGTCGTAATCAATTTTGACTTTCCGAAGATGGCAGAGACATATCTGCATCGAATTGGCCGATCTGGAAGATTCGGCCACTTAGGTATAGCAATTAACCTAATCACATACGAGGATCGCTTCAACTTACATCGTATCGAACAAGAACTTGGAACAGAAATTAAACCTATTCCGAAGGTGATAGACCCCAGTTTGTATGTAGCGAAACCAGTATGTAACGATTAAGATTAAAGGAGGCATGTATAATTTAGTTATGGTAAAATACAATGGTTGATTGATTACGTTATTCACGTATCTGTGTTTACATATAGTTCACATATGTTCTCTATTTTTCTGTGTCACACATCCGTTTACATATTTAAATCGTCCTCAAGGTTCAACCGTCTTCACTCTCCCTAGTGAGTTCAAAGCACAATGTATGTATGCCTGAATACATGAACGAGTCGTAATCGCCATTTTCACAATTTAAGCTCCGAACTCGTGTGAAGCTTCAACATGTTGCGAGTGTATCGAAACTGCTTAGACACATTACCTTCTTGCATACTATTATTGTCTCGCTGTATGAAAACTGGGGTTTATCATCTTCAGAATAAGTTCAGGAAGATAAGAGAAGAATGGGAAAGAGTGAAGAGACAATTGAACTCCTTGAGGAGGGTTTAAACGTGCGAACAGATGTGTGAATAGAGAAAAAGAGAACATGCGTAAACAATATGTAAACATATATGTAAATAATGTAATTAATTAATCATTGCATTTTACCATAACTGTAAATATTACATGCGGGTACACACACACACACATGCGCGCGCGCGCGCGCACGTACGCGCGCACGCACACGCACGCACACGCGCACACACACACACACACACACACACACACACATACACACATCATTTTAATAGAGGATTTTTATACAACGGCTTCACTCTTCCAGTATTTCTTTTTTTTTTTTTTTTTTTTTTTTTTCCGTTTGACGGTTAAGAAAGGTGGCATGTATAATTTAGAGAAAGGAACTATCGGCCAATTTCTCATATTGAATGCAGCAAACCAACCCATGTGCTCATTACTTTTGTACTGTCATGTATAAATAGAAATTCTTCTTAAACACCAATAAGGTTACATATATACATATAAAAATTGCTATTTAGCAATCAAATAAGATTCGGATATTAAAACATTTCATTCATCCGTTGTAATGTTTTGATCATGGCTTGATTTTGCTATCTGTCAATATTGTCATACAATACTCTGAAATTCAAATCACTTATCAATACCAAATCACTTTTTCTGTTCTATTTACTAGTGTTCTATCACTAGTGGAATCTTTCCGTTTTCTTTTTTTTTTTTCTTTTGAACATGATTGGATTTTCTTTTTACAGTACCGTGATTGAGAATCAGAGGTTGTACAATTGACTAGTTTTATATAATTATTTTTTATATATAACTGGCTGGTGGACTCCCTTTAATGGAGGTTCTGTGTATGAATCTGATAAAATAACATATGTCCGACTGTACATATGTTTATGCAATAGCAGTCAATCGAATCGTTGATCTGAGATCTAACAAAAATTGTGTAAGAACATATTGCTGAAATCATATATGGCAAGAGATGAGGAATAAAACCGGTGAACGGTTGTAGGTGATTTGGAATGTAAAAAGTGATGTTGTATCATACTGCAACGAAAAGAAGTAGCATTTTACTCTCTACTACCGTATACCGTACACCTCACGAAAGATGAAATAACTGCCATTATATTATATGATAATATCAACATAGAATCTCCAGAAATCGCGGTCTATCTCGAATGAAACATGTACGTGTATGAAATGTATAATTATATGAGAAGCTCTTTTGTTCGAAGTGCATGATTATCGAAATTCAGAATTCGGAGAGAGCAGGCCACCAGCCAATATGACTTAGGTTTACGGAGCGAAATTTGTACAGATTCATAGGCGATACCAAAATATTTCGTATATGAGGCGAGTAAAATGTCTTTAAATGGAATATTAACGGTGATAAAAGGCGGTGTAAAATGTGTTTAGAGCTGCAGAGTGTCAGTTGTGACTGTGAGCTTATCACAGAGAGAGACTGTGTAGAATAGATGTACAGTGATGGAATAACTACTGACACAAAAAAAGGAAGCGCGTCTAAAGGAAATCAAGATTGCACACCGGCGGACATTGAATGGATGTGTATAAAATGTAGATCCGGGTTGATGGTTGTTCATTATAATCTGTAAAAGTACAAGTTATTCCAATTTGAAAATTAGCGTTAAATTTCGGGCACCATCATGTGACTAAGTAGCAACTCATAATCGTGCATATGTGTGATTATATCGTGAAGGAGAAACGGTGTGTGTGTGTGCGTGCGTGCGTGCGTGCTGCGTGCGTGTGTGCGCGCGCGCGCGTGTGTGTGTGTGTGCGTGCGTATGTGTGTGCGTGTGTGTGTGTGTGTGTGTGCGCGCGCGCGTGTGTGTGTGTGTGTTTCCTTTACAAGGAACAGATCACGCGAGAGAAAAAACGACTGAATTTCCGATCTCGTTCCGATATTATAACTACATAACTGATTTTACATTTTCCATCTCTCTGCTTCTCCTTAATCTTCGATTCGACGAAACTTTTTCTCGACTAATTACGATTTTAGCCACGGCTGTGACTGTTGTACAGGCGGTTGTAAAGATCTAGATTGAGCGCAAGCGAAAACTTCGTCACCGGTGATATCTGACGAAGAACGACAACAAATATTGACGCAACCGTTTCTGATTTATCAGAAGTCAAGTTGCCTTCCGTTTGAACGAGATAACGCGAGCAAATAACAATCCGCCGCTGATGATGGTGCGCTATTGACCACATGTAAAATAAACAGTCCTGAACAACCAGCGGCCCGGAAAATCAATAATTACATCTGCTACGATTTAATAATTCGTTAGGGGTACAATAACGTCTCCTTTATGTCGCCGTTCCGACAGGAACATTGTAATATATATTAACGTAGCGCTAAATGCATTAGTAACCGTTTTTTCGCCAGCCAAAAACCGATTTGGTACGTTCAATCGTCGAAAATTGCAAACATTTGTGTAATATGTAAAACAATCTAAAGGAGACTTATTCTTAAGGGATCTACTTTCCCAATTTGGGAAACGTGCGGCTCAACAGTTCTGTTGAACTAGAAAATCTCGAAGATCAGGTGTAAGCGCAAGCGTGCATCATGATGTTACAGACCGCGCGAAATCTCATGATGCACGGGTGCCGGGAGTGAAATTATTATTAGCGATAAGAGACACAATGCGAGAGTACATACAGGGCTTACATTTTCAAAACGAAAGTTGTTTATACAGAAATTGGCAGCAATTTATCAAAAAGCTATATCATTCGTACTGTATGTGTTGCTGTGCAATTCGATCTTTTCGTCTGCCGATATATTTATCTCAAGTGGGAATCTTATCGATCGAATAATACGTCGCCCACTGCGTGTTCATTTGAACGATAAGAATCGCATACGGTTACGTCATTACGTCATTACGTCATAGTCTAATATCATGGTCTCTTATTTTACTATCTATTTAATGTAGAAGAGTACAATAGGTGTCACGGAATAGTTTCGCCGACACGATCAGCGAAACCGATCTATCTTCCTATTTGCGAACTACGAAAAAAATTTACTCTTACTCCGTTAGTTTCTTCTGTTATTTTTCTCGAAACGATTCTTTATTAAAACGAATATTCTTTTGGCGACGTTATTATGTATAGACTAAACAGCGTAATAACACACTCGGTCTTACTACGCTGCAATTGGAAACACCCGATAGATCCATCGCGGAATCTATTTTGCGAAATATATTTTACTTAGCTTTCGAAAGAGCCACGCATAACACCACAATAAGAAGCAAAAGCGCATCAGTTCGTTTCTCATATGAGATATATCGCGCCTGCGCGATTCAGAAAAATTGTAAAATATTTCAATTCTCCTCAAAATTGTTTTCAATCGAGGAAAGCTGCTAGTTCGCTATTAACACTGGAGATGCGCGGCGAGGGGACATTTATATTTATATATTTAAGATTACCAATGTGATGAGAAGCATCGCGTTTATTCGTTGTTTATTCCAAAGTTGCGGAAAAGTCGCGTGCTTGGCTCTTTCTAAAGGATGATCTTTGCGCAAGGCGGTTATATAAACTTAGATAAAAGGTGGGCTTAAATAATACAAAAAGAAAAAAAAGGACATTGGTTAGCAATGTTGTGTGAGCGGACTGCGAAGCACGCGGTAGTTTTATAATTTTTACCTCTTGCAGCGCCATACATATGTACTATATATATATTGCCGTTCTTATATTTCTAATTGAAGCAGATGAAAATCCTTCTTCATCGAGAGATACCGAAATGAGTTTACGTGTATGTGTGCCCGTAATGTAAAGCGTAAATTCCGCATCTGGAAAAGTTGCCAAAGTAATTTTCCTACTTTGGTATCCCTCCGAGAGAGAGACCACCGCGTCTTCGCACGTCTGGCTCATGTGGTAATCCACCAAGCGCGGTTGTGCTGCGACCGGGCTTGGATAACAAGGCGCGAGAGTGCCCTTGATACGATGAAAGTAAGCGAATGTGAATTCTTACAATAACGTAGGAATACGATTTCGGCGGCAGTGTGTAAAAATGCGTTAACATCCGGGTGTGTGCCAGAATTCGCGAATTCGCCGCCCTACGAACACCCTGAGAGAAGAGGCGGCGTTCGCGAATTTCACTTGTCAATATCTACGATTTCAATCGTACAAGCGTGAAGGGAAAACACTTTGAGAAACAAGCTCTGCAAAGTGCTCGTAGATCTTGTACCTTCGCCTGAGAGTACACCCATTGGATAATCCAATGCGGCGAGCTGCGTGAAAGCACATTCCCAACTAACCGAGCAAGAATCGATTACACTGAGAAATTTAACATCCAGAGACAAACGATCTTTCTGGTTTCGAATAACCATACGCAGCTCGATCAGTGATATTGGAATTAGATCTCCAATATACGATGAAACATATTTAAAAAGGGGGGAAAAAAATTAACAAGTAAAGTGTATAATTCGTTCGAGATACGTGAAACAATATCAGTTTTATCTATTATCCGTGCTTTACCGTTTTGTTCAAGAACATAGTATTCATTATTATTCAATTATTTATCGGATTGCGGTACCAAGCATCGTTCAAACGGCAAAACCTGAAACGTTCTACAATATGAGATACGATACTTTTTTTGTTATATTTCTCTCTCTCTCTCTCTCTCTCTCTCTCTCTCTCTCTCTCTCTCTCTCTCTCTCTCTCTCTGTCTCTCTCTCTCTCTCTCTCTCTCTCTCTCTCTCTCTCTCTCTCTCTCTCTCTCTCTCTCTCTCTCTATCTATCTATCTCTCTCTATCTCTCTCTCTCTCTCTCTCTCTCTCTCTCTCTCTCTCTCTCTCCCCCCCTCTCTACATATATATATATTATTAATATTATAGTTATTATTATTAACGTGATATGAACGAAAAATTTTCGACACAATAATAGACATCGATTTATTTCGTGACGTTGAAATCTCCGAGTTTCGGTTGTTCGTAAATACAAGCCACATAACACAGCGAAACTTGTCCTTCGCGTCTTATACAATCCAAAAAATTGATTTCCTCCTCTCTGTGTGTCTATTTTGCAACTGAAATCGTTCAGATAATACTATTGATTGATGAAAGAAACAATAGGGCACAGGTCAATCGAATAAGAACGATGAACACGTAGAGAAAACAACTTCGTAGTGTTATGCAACTTGCGTCTCCATTTACAAATAACTCGCGACTCGCGCGTGATTGTACGCAGATGGAATACTCTGTATTTCTGATTTTTATGTGCATTTGTCAAGACAATTATTCCCGTTATCTGTATTACAATTTCGAAGACGGTCCCTGATCCGTGTGAAATCAACAAACTTGCAAGCTGTTTCTTGTTCCAGCAGTATTATGATTTTTTCTTTTTTTCCAAATTGTAAAGATGGGTTTGCGCATGACTATATAAGAACACATTTTTTTTTTTCTCATTTATCTTTGCCATTCTGTTAGCACAAACCCGATCTACTAAGCCGTTATGTCAATTTTGTTTCCTGTGAAGGGAAGGAGGGGCAGAACAGAGCGTAGCTCTTTCGTCCCTTAATAAAAATTCTGTTTCAGTACACGATGTATCTTCTTTGCATCATAAATCCTGAAATACTCGACTCTCTGCCGTCCCGATCTTCTTTTCCTTTTACATGAAACGACGTTATTTCATGTGGTCTCAACAAGATTATTAGATAAACCGGACGAATTTTCAGTGTCGCTTCCAAGAAGTATAGTGAGAGCGTTTCTGCGCCTTACAATTTTGCAGTGTGTGTGTGTGTGTGTGTGTGTGTGCGTGCGTGCGTGCGTGTGCGTGTCTGAATTTTTTTTTCTTTTTTCTTTTTTTTCACCGAGCGATTTTGTCCAATCGATTTGCGTCCGTTTTATCAAAAATTCTCAATTCGCAATCTTTTTTACGACTGTGGCGAATTACAATTGTGTAATCATCTCGTCAAACATTTCTTATTGATATTTATACAACAAATATAACGATAAAAATATAATAAAAAATCTGCAAACGAAGATTATCGTTAAAAGTATTGCGCTCTCTGATCAAGTCTTCGGCGAGAGAAATCTGTTCATTGTTTACTTGTATCTGGGAACACTCACGGTTGCTTTATTGTTACAGTCCGTAATATATTTTTTCAGGGGGGATATATGAGGATTAT